CGTTACTTAGGGCCACAGCTATCAAAGAATCGAAAATTTAAAGTGACATACACCCTTTTTTTTTTTTTGGTGGCTGTCGTGCACAGTTGGTGCTGCAGTTTTGCCGATTTTGCAAAATAAACTGACTTTCTGCTTCACAACCACTATTGTACGTTCAAAGAGTTAAATCCATTTACACGCCGGCTGGCGGTAATATTTTTTGGGTGATTAGTGCATTTCCAGTGACACAAACGTACAGTTTCCAGCCAACGGCAAGCTGCAATTGACGATTGTGTGTACAATAAAACTGACTTTCTGCTTCACAACCACTATTGGCCTTCAATTGAAGCTGCTTCCGCTCCGCCACTCTGCCATTGGACTCTTGATAGTCGTCTCCCCACACTGCTGCTGGGGGGACTTTTTAACCTAGGCCTGTGTATGGCCTTCAATTGAAGCTGCTTCTGCTCCGCCACTCTGCCATTGGACTCTTGATAGTTCGTCTCCCCACACTGCTGCTGGGGGGACTTTTTAACATAGGCCTCTGTATGGCCTTCAATTTAAGCTGCTTACGCTTCGCCACTCTGCCATGGGCCCCTGTACCCTTACCGCCTCCTCATTGCTGCTGCCAGGTCCAGAGTGTGTCATGGGTCCCTGTACGGCCTCCATTGCTGCTGTCTCCATCGCCACACTCTGCCATGTGCCACTTTCAGGTCTCCTCACACTGCTGGTGGGTTCCATTTTGGTCATAGGGTGCTGTATGGCCTCCCAATTGCTGCTGCCTCTCCACCGCCACACTGTGGCTCCACACTCTGGTTTTGGCCCCGTGACTGCCCAAATGAGTGAAGTGTGCAGTGATTTCTAAGATCGACGGCACTCATCTGCATGTCATACTGACTGACAGTATTATTTCTCTTCCCCAGCAGACTCCAAGGGCATTTAAATTAAAGGTACAGTGTTCTGCACTAATATAAAGGCTCTCTGAAGCCTAGAAACCCTTTTAATAAGTTAAATTCGCAGCGAATAAATTTGCATCGAATCGAATTTATTCCGCAAATTCGGCGAATTTTTACAGTAAACAGTGCAATCTCCAGTCAATCTGATGCCTTGCAGAAGGGAGGTAGGAGGAGGAATGAGTAGGGGAGTGTCTTGCCATCCTAGACTACAGGGCTGTGTGTTTCAATTGATGCACTCAGTGTAGGGAGATGCAACTCTAGTTCCTGCATCAACGGTGGCTCTATAGGATGCTAAAAGAAAAAGGAGCCACCCTGAAACAGGAAATCTGGGGCAGTGGTCATGGCATCAGCTTAAACTGGAACATAAGCAAGGTTTAAAGTACACAGTAAAGTGAACTTAAGCCGACTTTAGGGTCTCTGCTCTGGCATCTATGTCCCCCATTTGGTGTATTCCACTGGAGGGGCATGTCAGGCCAGGAGTCTGCCCTGACTCCATATAATCCGCAGAGAACAAGGAGTCTAATGGCAGGAATACACGGTAAGAAAATCATCTGACGACCAATCGGCGTTCGATCGTTGGTCGAAGTCGTGGCCCTCATTAACCAATCGAAAAAAAATTGTACGTCAAGCAATATGCAGTGTTGACGTATTTCGTGCAAGTGGAAGTGATGCAGTGTGCGTGTGACCTTGTAGCAACGCCCTTCCACCCAGAACAAGCGTTCAATGTCCTGCCTCCCAGAGCGAGCGATTGGACATAAATCCTTGGAATTAATTCGATTTATGGATCCTTGGACATTTGGACATAATTGGAATAAATTGGATTTATGGATCTTTGGACATAAACATCCGGGTCATCTTCGGTTTCCGCTCATGTGTGATAGTGCTTCATAGATTTTTTTTTCGAATGACCGTCATACCACCGCATAGAAAATTGGTTGTTCGCATGCAAAACAACATTTTTCACTGTTGTTCAACTGGATTTTCATTCACAATATTGTTATCGATTATAACATCCTGGTCATCAACGAAGAGAAAGTCGGTTGATCATTTAATCAACAAAATTTTTCGTACAATTTTCCTACCGTGTATTTCTGGCTTAAGCCTCCATGACTAAGCCCCATGGGTGGGGCGAAACAGGTCAGGGGCCTGCATGGAGTTGGAGTTAGGCTGAGGCTGCTATCACTTATCACATGCTGGGCTTGTATGATGTGTGGTGCCTGACATTGTTTTCTCCTTGTCCTAAGGATTAAAGTAGTGTAAAGTGATAATAAAGGTTTATTTACAAAAAAAAAAAATACCAAACATGTCATACTTACCTGCTGTGTGCAATGGTTTAGCACAGAGCAGCGCCGATCCTCTTCTTCTTGGATCCACTGCTCGAGCTCCTGGCTCCTCCCCCTTGATGAGTGCCTCTATTAGCAAACTGCTTGCCATGGGGGCACTGGAACATTTTGCTCCTGAGCCCCGCACTATGTGTTCATAAGACACATAAAGCCAAGGCTCACCCCCACATTTTTTTTTGCATTTGCAATCATGAACTGTATTGTGTGTGTATATTAGGGATGAGCACAACAGAGCCATTCATATCCAGCTCACTGCTACCATGACAATCACATGGTTTACTAATTTTTCCAGTACCCCTAGAAAGAAATAAAGTGGCAGCTGTCACTGTCATGGCTTTGTTGTTAAAAATATTATTCAATAGCATGGTGATCACACACGGCTTTGTTTATAAACAAAAGGCACATCAGTGACAAAGGATTGTTTATCAACAAAGTCATGTCAGTGACAACTGCCACTGTATTTCTTTTTACGTGCACTCAAAGTGCACCTTGCAAGAAATAACTAACTTTAAGTTGTATTGTCTCCCGTTATATTGTAAAGCGCTGAGCAAACTGTTGGCGCTATATAAATCCTGTATAATAATAATAAATAATAAGTAGTTATAAAAAAAAGATAATAAAAATTTAAAGGTTAACTCCACTTTCATGGGAGAAAAAAAAAAAAAAACGCAAGTACAAAAAAATATATAGCATATACAATTACTACACAAGTCATATTGTAGATGGAATACTATTAAAATTGACCTTTCCTTTTCCATCTGCGGTGCTGTAATTTTCTATAAAATCCAATGCGATATGGCAACCTTGAGGTGTTCTGTACATAGATGGTGCATGGAACACCCCCCAGAAATGTCATTTCCTGCTTGTGTGATTGGCTCACTGATTTCCCATAAGTGACATTTTACGCATCCTCTGTAACAAAATTGTCATTTAGAGAGAGATACTCCCAAAGGGTTAGCTGATTGATAATGAAAGTTGCTCCCATTCAGACTGACTTTGCACATGGACATAGAAAAACAAACAGCTACTTCTTCAGAGCAATAAAAGTCAGGAAATTGCACCAACATTTGTTAAAATCCCTGCAATATACATTTTTTGCTGTTAAAATAGGAGCTCTTGTAGAGATTTCTTAAAACATGGACTCTTTGGATGCAACATACCCACCCTGCTATACCAACAGGCAGTTTTACATTGCTATAATTATAGAGGCTCCATAGCCCGTGTTTGAGCAGTTTTTACGTCCCCCCTTTGACTCTTTCCCCCCCTCCCCTTTTTTTTCTTTGTTTCTTCTCTCTTCATTGGCTCTCCCGCAGGGACGATTTGCGGTTTATTCTATGTATCCCTTGGTTCAATTATATACTCTGTGTATTTCATATGCTAATATTCCTCTCACCAATGCCTGATCCAGTGCATTAGGCATATGGATCCTCCTCTGTTCCTTACACTGATTCACTGATACAATATGGTCAATGTACTTCCTGACACACCATCCACTTTGTCACTCCTGTTTACACGATAGCAGTTGTAATTGTACCTTCTAAAAGCAAAATTCTTCAATAAAAAATTATTGAAAGGAAAAAGAAGCTCTTGAAACACTATTAAACAATATAGACAATATTTAAAGGTCAATGAGGGGGATTTGTAAAGAATGATATAAGCATAATGCTTGCACCACTCTTCTAAAAAGTAAAAATTGGAGCATATGCTGCTCCTAACTAACAAAAGGGTGCAAGCCAAAAAGGGAAGTTCCGCTTTAAGTACTGGTCCCCCACTCCCCATGAGGAATTGGCACCTTTAGGAAGTGGGTACTCGATTTTGACATTAATGGCTGTGCGTTGAGTTATTTTGAGGGGACAGCAAATTTACACTGATATAAAAGCTGAACTCTCACTACTTTACATTGTAGCAAAGTGTCATTTCTTCAGTTTTGTCACATGAAAAGATAGAATAAAATATTTACAAAAATGGGAGGGGTGTACTCACTTCTGTGAGACACTATATATATATATATATATATATATATATATATATATACACTGTATACACACACACACTCTTTTTATACAGTATGATACCTATAAAAACTAAAAGGAAATAAAACATTATTTTCTACTGTAGCACCCTCTAGCTTAGCTAGGTAGGATTTTTGGCAGAGTAGCAGCCTGGGATGAGTCAGTCTGGGAGTGAGGCAGGAGTTCAGCTCAGGACAGGCTGGGAGGCTCTACAGGTCAGGGCTTTTGGAGCCCTCCCACCCTTCCAGAAACTCAGAGAACTTTCTAGAAGAGGGGCGGAGGAGGGGAGGAAGTCTAGATCTGTATGTTTAACCACCTGCCGCCTGCCATATAGTACAACGACGGGTGCAAGGTGGTTCTCTCGTTCTGGATGACGTCATATGACGTCGTCCCATTCTAACCGCGCATGCGCGGCCCGGAAGCACGCAACGCGGAGATCGGCTCTTTCCATTAATCAGTGATCCGCTGTGTCCAAGGGACACAGCGGGATCACTGATTAATGGAAAGAGCCGAAGATGTCGGCTCGGTCATGTGATCAGCATGCTGATCCAATCACAGCTGATCACATGTAAATAGGGAAATGCTGGTTATCGGCATTTCTCTCCTCATGAACTGTCACGCTGACAGCTCGAGAGGAGACGAGAGACGATAATCGGGATCCCTCAGTGGGGACATCTACACTGATCATCAGGGCACTGATGATCAATGTGCCCTGATGACTTGTGTAGCCCCAGCAGTGCCACCTGTCAGTGTCCATCAGTGCCAGCTGTTAGTGCTCATCTATGCTACCTGCCAGTGCCCATCAGTGCCACATCAATGCCACATATCAGTGCCTACCAGTGCACATCAATGCCACATATCAGTGCCCATCTGAGCTTCCTTTCAGTGTCACCCATCAGTGCCAGTCAGTGCCACCTATCAATGTCAGTCAGTGCCACCTATCAGTGCTGCCAATCAGTGCCACCTATCAGTGCCAGTCAGTGCCACCTATCAGTGCCAGTCAGTGCCACCTATCCGTGAGCATCAGTGCCACCTATCAGTGCCCATCAGTGCTGCCTATCAGTCCTACCTAACAGTGCCAGTCAGTGACACCTAACAGTGCCAGTCAGTGCTGCCTATCAGTGCCACCTATCAATGCCATATATGAGTGCTGCCTTTCAGTGCTCATAAGTGATGCCTGTCAATGCCCATCAGTGCCACCTACCAGTGCCTCCTCATCAGTGCCCATCAGTGCCACCTATCAGTGTCCATCAGTGCAGCCCTATCAGTGCCCATCACTGCAGCCTCATTAGCGCACATCAGTGAAGGAGAAAAATCACATATTTACAAAATTTTATAACAAAAACTAAGAAAAAAAACTTTTTTTTTTTCAAAATTTTCAGTGCCTTTTGGTTTGTTTAAGAAAAAATAAAAAAACCAGAGGTGATTAAATACCATCAAAATAAATCTCTATCTGTCTCAAAAAAATGATAAAATTTTAATATGGGTACAGTGTTGCATGATGGCGCAATTGTCATTCAAAGTGTGATAGCGCTAAAAATTTGCCTGGGCAGGAAGGGGGTATAAATAATATATAAACAGTGCAAATCAAAAAAACTGCTCACCAAATATATAGCATCAATCAATAAATCAATATAAATTGTTAAAAAATAAATAATTTATAAAGTGTCCAAAAAATTATTAAATGTGTCCACAAAAAAAAATAATATATATAAAAATAAAAAAGGAAGGGGGGATAAGTGCCCGGTAGACAAGTGGTTAAGGGAACTTAGTCAATCCCCAGGCAGGAAGCCGGACATGGTGACCAAGGACAACCCTTAAATGTGGAAGAGCCTGAGCAGCAGGGGAGTCCGGTGGAAGATGGGCTGAAGGAAGCTGCTGGAGTGTGGAGTTTGGGAGGGATCCCCAAGGAGGAGAGCCTACCTACAGGCTGGTTGCTGGACAGGAAAATCGTGACTGTTTCACTCTCTCTTAGGGAGGACAGCAGGCAGCAGGGAAGGAACCAGCCCAGCAAAAGGCTTGAAAAGCAGCTAGCAACCTACCACGCTAAGACAGGACAGTGTGAGTACTCCTACACCCTCTGGGCAAGATAAAAGGAGAGGGTAGTCAGGTGCGAGACCCAACTAGTTCTCATCTGGGACTACTTCATTGTTAGATCTTGGAATCCGTTGCCCAGGGATACCCTCAGTGCAGCTGGGTGAAGTTGAAGGATTCACCTGGGGTCTGAGGAGGTACACCAAGGGGGCTTAGAGCTCTCTAAAATAGACAGTGCTCTATTTGCTATTTTCTGGATCCACATCTTTTGTACAGTGTACAGGTTGCTAAGAAGTTTGTCCTCAAATTTAAAGTTCCTTGGACATCCCATATACCCTTAGACCCTATCCAAGTTGTTAGCTCCCTAAAAACCAGCTCAAGGACTGTTTATTGACTACAAGTGTGGAAAAATACATGTTACCTGGCCTTGTAAAGCTTAGGGGGACCCAAAACAAATTCAGCAGACCTCAAGAGGGTAGTGCTACACTACATTATATACTTGTTGTGCAGTGAGCACTGACAGTAAAGGGGAGGTTTCAAGACTACTGAGGAGCCGGCTGTGCAGGCACAATATATGAAACCCAGATAGACCTGTACATGCTTCTGGAAACTGGTGATCATGTTTGAAAAAATACAGTACCAGATAAAGTGTTACAGTTAGAGGGTCCATTTATAAATTCAATAGTAGACAGTGAGGGGAGGAAGGGCTATTGAGAGAAGTTAGAAGACTCTCTGTAGCTCAACTAACATACATTTATTTTTCTGCAACTTCAAAAAGTGCCTCCTGCTTTAAGTTTTAATGATAATAATCCCTTTGGAACACATAATCACTCAATGTGCCTAGGACTGCATGAATAATAAATATAGCCCTGGTCTAATCTCCAAGATTTCAAGTCTGGTTTATAAAGTTACTGTAATTCTAAAACTCCCCTTCTGCTTTGCTCACTGTTATTTCCTACCAGACCTGGTAATGCCTGCACTGTTTATTAAATTTAACTACTTTTGCACTTTGGTACCAAACTGTCATCCCTATTGCCCACACCTTTGTTCAGCCTTTCACAGCAAATAGAGGTAATGTTTTAAAAGCAGAACAAAAAAAAAAATGTTGAAGCACTGTGGAACTATTACCCACAGCACACAATCAAATTTTTTATTTTATTTATCTTTTTTCTACCCCCATTCTCTCCCTCAACATTTCAGAGATATTCACTGTTTAGCCTGCCTAGCGCTGCACTGCACTGCAGTGCACTGGGTCTTCAAACATCCTCCATGCTGTGCTTACAAGCAGTTTTTTCCGTAAAGAAAATGGAGACCACCAGGGCGTTCCTAGAATTGTAAAATATTGGGGGCACTAAAGTACGAAGTTTGGAGTTTATATGCTTGAGAGAAGCTGGGGAGATCCTGTGCCCCTGCCTCCCAGGTCTTTGTGGAATGACATTGCAATGGAACTGTAGAGGCTTTCAAATTCACACACACACAATTGACACATGAACACCAACACTGTCAAAGTATCCGAAAACAGCAGTGAGTCTCCAGGACTGCAATATGTTCCTTTTTACTTTTTATTGTAAAAGTTCTGTTTCAGCAAACGTGTATGCTAGAGATATCATTATTATTATTATTAATACATAGGATTTATATAGTACCAACAGTTTGCTCAGCGCTTTACATAAATATAAAGGGAGACAGTACAGTTACACTACAATAAAAAAAACAAGAGGACTAAGAGGGCCCTGCTCATAAGAGCTTACAATCTAATAGGGTGGGGCAAATGGTACAAATGGTTATACCTGTGGAGAAGCTGATGGAAGTGATAAATATTTAATTGGAGGCATGATAGGCTTCCTTGAAGAGATAAGTTTTCAGAGATCCCCTAAAGGCAGCCAGAGTAGGGAATAGCTGGACAGCTTGAGGTAGAGAGTTCCAGAGGATGGGAGAGGCCCTGGCAAAGTCCTGGAGATGAGCATGGAAGGAGGAGGCAAGGGAGCTTGAGAGCAGGAAATCATGAGAGGAGTGGAGAGGATGGTTTGGGTGATGATTGGAGACAAGACTAGTGATGTAGCTGGGGGCAGAGTTGTGAATAGCTTTGTATGTTGTATTTTGAATTTAATTCACTAGGCAATCAGAAGCCAGTGGAGGGATTGGCATAGAGGGGTGGTAGACACAGAGTGGTTGGTAAGATAGATGATTCTGAAAGCAGCATTCATGATAGACTGAAGAGGGAATAGCCTATGGAGAGGTAACCTATGAAAAGGAAGTTGCAATAGTCAAGGAGAGATAACAAGGGAGTGAACGAGTAGCCCGGTGGATTCATTAGTTAAATAGGGGCGAATTTTAGAGATGTCATGGAGGTAAAGTCTACAAGCTTTTGACAGCCATTGGATTTGAGGCTGAAAAGATAGGTCAGAGTCCAGGATTATACCTAGTACCCTAGCTTCAAGGGAGAGACTCATAGTTGTGTTACTGACCTTGACAGAAAAGTTATGGAGGTGGGCACAAGCGGGGGGAAATATTAACAGCCCGGTTTTAAAGAAATGTAGTTTAAGGAAGTGGTACGACATCAATGCTGATATGTCAGTTAGTAAGTTGATAATGTGAGAGGAGACTGAAGGAGTGCGGTGACAAATAGTGAAATAGATTTGGATGTCATTGGCACAGAGATGGTATTGGAAGCCATGGGAGGTTGTCAGGTGACCAAGAGAGCAGGTGTAGCTATAGAAGAGAAGGGGTCCATGAACAGAGCCTTGGGTGACCCCTACTGAAAGAGGAAGTGGAGAAGAGGAGATGGAGATATAGGTAATGCTGAAGGAGTGCTGTGACAGGTAGGAGGAGAACCAGGATAGAGCAGAATCTTGGAGGCCATGGCAGTGGAGTTCAACTTTACAATATGTATTTTATTTTCTTTATTTGAGGTAGGTATATTGTGCTGTCAATTTTACCCTGCTCTTTACATATTTATTATACATTCAAATCAGTCCTTGCCCTCAAGGAGGTTACAACCTAATGTCCCTAACAATAGAAAAGGTGAAATTAACACTTTGGAGTTCTGGTGACTTTTTGCAGTTATACAACAGAGTATGTCACTCTGAAAGATAAAGTGTCATGCTCTGTTAGAGATTTTGCTAGGTTCAGGGCGTCAAGTGGGAGACACGAGTCAATTGCCCCAGGTGTCTAGGTCTAAGTGATGTGTAAGGAGAATACAGTATGCATGCAAATGTACAACATGAAGCATTTCTGAAGATTTTGGTTAGGGACTTTGTTGAGTCATGCAGGTTGCACTGTATACATGGTGTTGAAGGCAGGTATATAACCTATGCTATTGAAGAATGCTTACACAGGATAACATACAGTATGCTTTGATAGGATAAAAGAAAAATACTCATATCCAATTAAGCCTTTAGATGTTTGGACACCGTCTTATTCATTATAAAACAAGTAATCACTGACCTTTTTATAGCTGCTTCTATTGTGAATTAATTCATTTTCAGTGTGATAAAGATCACAAGACTAAAGTTTGTTTCAGTCTCATTCTAACAGCCTTTCTAACTAAAGCCTCCTCTCCTCTTTACAGCCAAGGAAGTTGCCACCTTATGCAGGCCATAGACAGGGAGAAAACCGGCCAATTTTTCATCCGAAAAAAAAAAAAAAATCGGCCGATTTCGGATCGTTAGTGGGGTAATCAGTCGGCCATTTTTCGGGATTTTTACACTTTTTTTTATCGGTCATGTTGGAGAAAAAATTGGCCAATTTTGTCCTTCAGCCGATTTTCGTGGCAATGATGAACAAATCGGCCGATCTTTTTACCAATTTTAAAAAATGCGCATGAGCAGTGACCGGCAAGAAGAAGGAAAAGAAGAAAAGAAGAAAATAGAATATGAATAAGAAGCAGAAAAAGAGGAAATATAATATGAATAAGAAGAAGCAAAAAGAAAAAAATAGAATATGAAGAAGAAAATGAAGAAATAGAATATGAAGAAGAAAAGAAGAAATAGAATATGAATAATAAGAAGAAAAAGAATAAATAGAATATGAATAAGAAAAAGAAATAGAATATGAATAAGAAAAAGAAGAAATAGAATATGAATAAGAAAAGAAGAAATAGATAATGAATAAGAATAAGAAAAGAAGAAATAGAATATGAAAAAGAAGTAGAAAAAGAAGAAATAGAATATGAATAATAAGTAGAAAA